AGAGAGAGAGAGAGAGAGAGAGAGAGAGAGAGAGAGAGAGAGAGAGAGAGAGAGAGAGAGAGAGAGAGAGAGAAAGAGAGAGAGAGATCCAGAGAAGTAGGAAATTACTAGGAATAAAAAAAAGAAGGTTACATGTGGATGGAAAGAGAGGATGGAAAGAGAATGCCTGTGTCCTTCTGAAGTTGGGTGGATGGAGGCGCGTGTAAGAGAACAGCGGGTCTGCTAAAGGAACAACGGGGCAGTTACTCCCCATCCAACCAGAGGACATAAAGATGGAACCTCTCCTCTATGGTTGGCAAAATCCCCCTCTGGTTGGATCAGACACCCCCCTCCTTAAAGAGCTTCAGGATCAGAAACCCCCCGCCCCCCTTCCTCTTGTATAAACCAAAGTTGGGGGTGCTGGTTGGATCAGACAGCCCCCTCCTTAAGGGCTTCGGGATCAGGAACACCCCCCCTTCCTCCTGTATAACCCAAAGCTGGGTGTGCAGATTTTTCACAGCCGGAAGCTCTCCTCTATGGTTGGCAAACCCCCCTCTGTGTTGGATCAGGCACCCCCCTCCCTAAGGGCTTGAGGATAAGAAAACACCCCCATCCTCCTGTATAAAGCCAAAGTTGGGTGTGCAGATTTTTCGCAGCCAGATCCTCTCCTCTACGGTTGGCGAAAGCCCCAGTCCTCAAGGACTTCAGAATCAGACAACCCCCTCCTTCTGTCTAAACCAAAGCTGCGTGTGCAGATTTTTCCCAGCCAGATTAAGAAGAAACCCATTTTATTTTTTTTTATTTTTTCCTTTTTTTTTTACCCATTCTAACAACCAGGAAAAGGTTAGCAGAACTACAATGGACCTTGCTGACTGACAAAAAAAGACCTGCTAAAAAAACTATCGAAGGCCCTAAAGGGATTCCCTCCACAGCGGAACGAAGTCATACAATGGTTTACAGTCTCTTCAGATCACACCCACTTCTACTTGGCTGATATCCAGAGTAATGAAGATCTCCTCCCTCTGCAGAAGGTGTGATTGGGGGTGAGGGTCTTCAATACATCTGTAGTTCTTCTGTCCAGTGCCCGTTATTGGATCAGTTATGGGAGTGGTGGAAAGAGAATTGAAAGGGTCGTCGACAACAAACAATGGAATGGACTGTTGATTTCATTTCATTCTTTGTGGCCAACTCCCTATTGAAGGCGACGGCGTTTCCGATCCAACCTACACAGGGCGGCGCTCGTCTACGGAGAGGGATTTATCATGGACTGTATAGTGGTATCTGGACTGAAATGCGGCCCATATTCAGATATAGCGACGAGGGATAATCATGGACTGCATCTGCGCAGCTTGAAGGCAACGGCGTTTCCGGTCAAACCTACAGGGTGCTACCTTCCTCACCCCCGAACAAAACATTCGGTCATTACAGTGATATCTGGACTGAAATGCGAACCAAATTCAGCTATAACGACGGTACGTTTTGTTCGGGTGGAGAAGGTAGTCTTCGGAGGGAATCCGATAATCATGCACTTCATCTGGGCTGAAAAGCGAACCAACTTCAGCTATAGCGACGGTCCGTAATGCCATCCTGCTCCGAGGGGAAAGACATCACATTCACCACACCATCATGGTGATCGAGGCATGGATCAGCAGGACAGTCATCGACGACTTCTGGAGGAAGAAGGACTAGATTTGGTCCTTTAGAAGAACCATGGATTTACAAAGTCGGGTCCATAGTCTCCATAAAGCCCCAACGGAGGGGAAAATAAAGTGTTCTCAAGGGGTAATCTGCTGCTGCTGTTTCTCAAGCTTAAACCACCAGAACTGGGCACAGCTATCGGCCGCGGAAAAAAAAAAGAAGTAGAAAGTACTACAAACATTTGTAGTTGGATGAATTTGGCCGCTTCTGTAGTGGCGCGTACGCTTCCTAAAGTCGAGGCTTGTTTACGGGCACGAGTTTGGGAAGTAGTGGTGGTTTTAAATTAACACTCAGGGCATATTCACACGGGGACCAAAAGTCCAAAAAAATTGAGACATTTGGTTCGACTTTTTTGAGGCATTTGGTCCCCGTGTGGTCATACGGGCGGACGTCATCCAGAAAGGACGAAGTCGCGACCCTGACACTTTGCATTCAGGGCAAGTGCGCCCGGTCACACGGGGGAGGACCAGGCGAAAACATGGATTGTTTTTTTTTTTTTTTTTTTTTTCACGCTAGTATAACGCTTGGGCCTTATCTACAACGTAAATGTTCCTGGTCGCACTTTCAGTTGTTTGGCGGGCTGTCTTCTTCGTCTACAATTCTGTTCAATTCGCGAAAACAGAAAAAAAAAAAATAACGAAAGGTAATTTGAGACTACCTCCGGAGGTGGTCTCAAAAAGGGTATGCCCGCAGCCCCGCAGGCCTAACAGAAGGGTCACCGTTTGAGGCATTTGGGTAGCGAGCCTCTTTAGCGTGACCCGAAAAATGTCTCAAATTTTGGGATTTTGGGTCTTTTGGCCCTCGTGTGAGTATGCCCTCAGTCTGGTAGCACATCGTTTCGGTTGGCCCAACTGGCTGTAGAGGCCCGTACCTTTCCTAAAATTGTAGGGTTTTTTTTTTCTCGTCGTTCGTGTAGGAAGTAACGATATGGCGATTGTTGTCATGGTGGGTTGGTTGGCTGTCCACACCGTGCCTGGTAGTTTCGTGACGGCGGATAAGGCCTGTCTCTTATACACATCTAGATGTGTATAAGAGACAGGAACAGAGAGAGGCAGAATGTTTGAAACTAAGGATCTCGCTCCACGCTCCACTACACAGCACTCTATATGCATTTAGACGGTCTCCGGACTTGATACATTCAGAATGCTAAACTTGTCTTAATGCACCTGGTCTAGAAGGCGTCCGAATGCATACAGAGTGTTGTGTAGTGGAGCGAAGCCTTACATAAGTGATCAATCCCATTTGTGGGGGGATTGCATGCTGTCTGAATTTCTCAAAAAAAAAAAAGGAGTTATGGGATTGGTGGAATAATCACTGGGAAAAAAAAAGACGCTGTACAGATTGCGGATCAGGTCCCACTAGCAGTGTCGAGTTTCCTCAACGGCTGAATCTGGACATGTTTGTGCATATGTGCAGAAATTGTGTTGAGTGTCCTCAACCTCACATCTCCACAAACACGTCCAGATTCAGGCGTTGAGGCAACTCAATGCTGCTAGTGGAACTTGGCCCCTCTTCTCAGACATAACTTTGTGAAGATTGGCATGGTTCTGTTCAATTGAGGTTTTTTTTTTTTTTTCTATTCAAATTGTTGGTTTCCTCCCACCCCTCCCTCCCCCCCCCCTTYTWTTAAAAYTKTTTTTTTTTTTTTTTTTTTTTTGGMAAAGGGGGGGGGGGGGGGGGGTTGCAATAAAATTAACTTTTCATTTACGTAGTAGATAATAAATGATGAAGAGAAGAATTACCTGGGGCCACAGCTTGGTACTCCACATGATCTACTTCTTCGTAAAATTCTCCCATGACAATCATTCTTTTAAGTTCCCCTGAAAAGGAAAACGACAAGAAAGTGGGAAATGCAATTACAAAAAAAACAAAATATAAATTATCGAAAAAAGCACCCCAGAATCCCAATGTAGTTGCCTATGCACCTAGAGCCTCAGACAGGGAGTGTCGGAGAGACCGGGAAGAGTAGGAAATGATGGGAATTGGTAAAAATGAAACTAAAATCCGGGCGCCGAAGCGGGCTAGCTCAGTTGATTGGGCACGTAAATGGCACTCAGGAGGTCGTGGGTTCGATGCCCAACCACTTCCTTTCATTTAATCCCCGCGGCCTCCTGGGGGATGCTTCGGGTTCACGAGCTGAGATTGTTGGCTTGGGCCTCCTGGCTGGTTGTGAAAGGAAATTTTTCCAGCCTGTGCCAGGTGTTAGGAGCTTGGGTACCGCTGCTCCCGGCACAGAGCAGAAAGATAGGTAGATATAGACCCATAACTTCATCCTAGCTTAGTTCTGGTTAGTAAATTTAAGGTATGTGTTGGGGAGGCTCTCTACAGGATTCATTGGGTTGCCTGCCTCCTATATTCAGTTCACCATCAACAACAAAGTAGTAATATAACAAGAGTGTACATAGTGGACAACCTCACCACCAGCAACAGTAACAGTAACAAACAGTAACAGTAACAAACAGTAACAGTAAAAACAGTAACAGTAAAAACAGGAATAGTAACAACAGTAACAGTAACAACAGTAACAGTAACAACAGTAGAATAGGTCCACCTATGGGACTTGTAGTGCAACGTCTTTGCCTAACGCCTGAAGTACCTGGGTGCCAAGGCTCGCTCAGGGCTGAGTGGGGTGTGTGGGGCTGGTCACCACCAGACCGGAGGGTGACAATCCTAAGTGGTAGACACTGTGATAGGATAGCGGGAGTAAGAGTGGGCTGGGAAAAAATGACGAGAGTGGTAGGTTGGGAGGAAGTCCCGTAGGATTAGAGGGGCTCTACCACATGGCCAAGTGCCGAAGGTGACTCTCACATGTCTATAATCCAGCCTCAACAACAACCTGGACTTTCCAAAAAAAAAAAAAAAAAAAAAAAAACTTAAAAAAAAATAATTCAAGTGGGCTTCCGTAGACCTCAGTCTTAGACTCACATGTAGGTGGTGTAGTTGTTGTTCCTGAATGGGTGTGACCTATTGTCAGCTTGGTAGGGCTTGTGGGTAAGACATAGATAAGGTAGTTAGAGGGAGGCAACAAAGAAGAAAATAGGGCAGGTAAAATATACAACTGTACTTTTATGGGCTTTGCTTGGCTGGAGAGCCATGCTCAGCCCGAGCACTGCAGCAAACTTTGTGAGGGACGCTGGGCCTGTTTTCTGGCTTAATAAAGACAAAACGCACCCTCATTATTGCCGTAATGGTACGGAAATGTAGCTTGACGGGGGGGTCGGAAGCCATAGCTCGGCTACGGCTATTATGTCTGCCCGGTACTGTTTTTCTCTCTTTAAATTTCTCCTTTCTTGTATTTTTTTAAAGGGTGATGGTCTTGAGATATCATCATCCAACTGATCGGCCTCATGTATGTCTGTTTTTTCAACAGCTACATGGTTGTACCGGACTTAATTTCGGGATTATTCACACATATGTGTATAGTGCATGTATTTGTATGTTGCAATTATGCATTGCATGAAAGGTCAGACTCGTGCTCAATCCCCGTCTTCCACACATACGCACCTAGAACCTCAGCCCCACAGTAAAAAAAAAACTTTGAAGTGAGTTGTATAAAAAAAGGGAAACACCACCCCCTATGTACTTGCCTAGCAGCTTGGGGCACCTTGGAGCTCCTCAACAGCCTGTCCATTACAATTATGCTCAAGGATGCTATATACTTGTATCTATATTCGATTATTTTATAACTACAATGACGGATATTATGTAGTTATATTTAAATACTATAGCTAGGCGCAACGATACTATGTATTTGTATTTGTATTCAATACTACGTAGCTAGGCGTAGGGATACTATGTGCTTGTATTACTATTCGAATACTACGCAGCTAGTCACATAAATACTATGTCATTGTATTTTTATTTGAATACTACATAGTTAGGCGCAAGGATACTATGTACTTGTATTTGTATTCAAATACTATGCAGCTAGGTGCAAGGATATTGTGTATTTATATTTGTATTCAAATAATGTGTAACTACTTCAAATACTATATAGCTACACACAAGGATACTATATACTTGTATTTGAATAATATGTAGCTACGCTCAAGAATACTACGTACTTGTATTCGAATATTGTATAGCTACCCATATGGATACTATGTGCTTGTATTTGTATTCAATACTACGTAGCTAGGCGCAAGGATACTATGTGCTTGTATTTGTATTCGAATACTATGCAGCTAGGCACATAAACACTATGTCCTTGTATTTGTATTTGAATACTACATAGCTAGGCCCTAGGATACTGTGTACTTGTATTTGTATTCACATACTACGCAACTAGGTGCAAGGATATTGTGTATTTGTGTTTGTATTCAAATAATGTATAGCTACTTCGAATACTGTATAACTACACACAAAAATACTATGTACTTCTATTTGAATAATATGTAGCTACGCTCAATAATACTACGTACTTGTATTCGGATATTGTGTAGCTACCCACATGGATACTATGTCCTTAAATTTAAATGCTCAGGGATACACTATTTGGATATTATGTAGCTACACTCATGGATACTATTTACTTATATTCTGATACTATAAGGATATTATCTATTTGTATTTGAATACTATGTGGGGTATCATGTACTCCTATTCGAATACTACGCAGCTACATTGAGGAATACTATGTATTGTATTCGAATACTATGTAACTACGTTCATGGGTATTATGTACTTGTATTTAAATACTACACTCAACAATACTATATACTTGTATTCAAATACTATGTTTAGTGATACTATGTACTTGTGTTTAAATTCTTAAGAATACTATATACTTGTATTTGAATACTATGCTTAGGGATATTATGTACTTGTATTCAAATAATACGACGATGTAATTGTATTCGAATATGTAATTGTATTCGAATACTATGCTTTTGGATACTATAAACTATGTACTTGTATTACTATGTAACTGTATTCAAATACTACACTCATAAATACTATAAACTATGTATTTGTATTCCAATACCGGGCTTAAGGATACTATGTCCTTATGTTAGAATATAATACTCGTACTTGAATATTATTCTTAGGGATATTATGTGCTATGTACTTGTATTTGAATACTACGTTGATGGATACTATGGATATTATGTACTATGTACTTGTATATTATACTCGTATTCAAATATCATTATGAAGGATATTATGTATTCGAATACTACGCTCATGGGTATTTACTTCTATTCGAATACTACGCTCATGAATATGTACTTCTATTCGAATACTACGTCTATTCGAATACTACGCTCATTGATACAATAAACTATGTACTTGTATTTGAATACTACGCTCAATGATAATGTGTACTTGTATTAAAATAATACGCTATTGGATACTATAAACTATGCATTCAAATACTACGCTCATGAATATTATAAACTATACACTTGTATTCAAATACTACTCTCAAGGATACTACTATGTACTTGTATTCGAATACTACGCTCATAGATATTATAAACTATGTACTTGTATTCGAATACTACACTCATAGATATTATAAACTATGTACTTGTATTCGAATACTACGCTCAAGGATACTATTTACTTATGTTTGAATACTATACTCATATTCGCATCTTATTCGTAGGGATAATATATACTATGTACATAAATTTGCATACTACGTTGATAAATATTATGAATACTATGGACATTATGTACAACGTACTCATATATTTATACTCATATTTGAATATTATTCTCAGGGATATTATGTACTATGTTTTTGTATTTGAATCTTACTCTCATGGATATTGTGTACTATGTACTTATATTCGAATACCACGCTCATTAACACTATAAATAATGTACTTATATTTGAATAGCTCAAGGATATTATTTACTTGTATTCGAATAGTTCAAGGATACTATGTACTTATATTTGAATACTAGGCTCAAGGATACTATGACCTTGTATTTGAATATTACGCTCACATATACTATAAACTCACGGATACTATAAACTATGTATTCGAATACTACGCTCATGGATATTATAAACTCGAATACTATGCTCATGAACATTATAAATTATGTACTATGTATTTGAATACTACGCTCATGGATACTATAAACTACATACATTCGAATACCACGCTCATGAATACTATAAACTATGTACTATGTTTTCGAATACTACGCTCATTGATACTATAAATGGATATTATACACTACGTACTTGTTTTCAAATACTACGCTCAATGACACTATATACTTATGATCAAATATTATACTCATGTTTAAATATTATTGTTAGGGATACTATGTACTATGTACTTATGTTTGAATTTTGCGTAGATAAATATCATGGATACTATTGATATCATGTACTATGTACTTACATATTATACTCATATTCGAATACTATTATTATGGATATTATGTATTATGTATTTGTATTTGAATTTTACGCTCATGGATACTATGTACTATGTACTTATATTCGAATACTACTATGTATTTGTATTTGAATCTTACGTTGATGGATACTATGTACTGTGTACTTATATTCGAATACTACGCTCAATGATACTATGCACTTGTATTCAAACACTACGTTTATGGATACTATAAATTTTATATTTGTATTTGAATACTACGCCCGGGAATACTATGTACTTATATTCGAATACTACGCTCAGATTACTATATACTTATATTCGAATACTACGCTCATGAATACTATGTACTTGTATTCGAGTACTACGCTCAAAGATACTATGTACTTGTATCCGAATACTACGCTCAGGGATACTATGTACTTGTATTCAAATACTGTGCTCAGGGATACTCTGTACTTGTATTCAAATACTACATTCATGGATACTTACTATGTGCTTGTATTCGAATACTACAACGAATGATACTATGTATT